TCCTGTTAATTGGGCAGCCCTGGAGTCTGTCTCTTCCATGTTTGTCTTTTGACCTTTAAAACTAAAAAGTGACTTTATGTGTTCTTTTTTTTTAGTTATTAGGAAAAGTTGGCATTGTTTATGTCCTGTGAATTTGGTCTGTCTCCCAGGGAAGGACTGGAAACTCTTTTATGCTCCAGGTCAGGAGTTTGCAAGATAGAAATTGACATATTTTTCCAGGTTTATCTTTGACTCACCAGGTTACGGGACCCTCCACACACAGACTGAGTTTAGGGGGAGGACACCAGGTGAGCCTCCCCACAAGATGGGTAGTGGCAGCAGGAACTCCCAAGCAGCCTCAGCTGGGGGTGGGGCCAGGGTGGGGAGACCCCATGGGTTTCTGGGACTGAGGGGGAATTATGGGAGTTGTAGTGCACACTGAAGTCCAAGTGGCTGAGTTTGAGAAACATTGATCTAGGCGTTGACATTGATAATTGTTGAGCATTTGGAGAGTTGCATAGCCCAGATCCCCGTCCTCCCAAGCTGGCTGAGGGGCTTTTTTACCTTTCTTTGGGGTGACAACGCTGCGATCCTCTCTGGGATCCCCACTGGCCTTAGCAGGCATTGCGAACCCAGGCTCAGTGTTGTCAAGACCCTCAGTTGGAGATGAATTACTCAAACCACAAAATGATGGTGTTTGCCAGAAGGCCAAAAACCTATTCCTGGCCCATGAATAAAGATTGCATTGTGCAATTTTCATGCTTTAAATGCCTGGAGGGGGGAGTGTTTCATGCCTCAGGTACATGAAGGGCACACCCAGCTGCCTTGCCTTGACTGCACAAAGAGGTTCAGCAGCCATCTTGTGATTCCAGGGAATGGAGATGAGGGTGGGGGGTGTTGCCTTCCAGCAGCTCTGAAATTATTCCCAGCTAATTCTTTGGCCTGGCTCACTTATGGGGCGCAGCTTGGACCATTTTCCAACTTTGCCTCTTTGGAGCGTGTCCAGCCCTGATTCCTCCAGGTGATGTTTCAGGCGCCTTGTTGGGTTCCTCAAGGTCCCCGTGCCTGGAGTCGGGGCTGATGAAGGTCGAGGCCAGATTCTAGTTCCTGATTTTTGCCTATTAGCTGAAACCTCTTTTCCTGTGGGGAGTTCTGTCAGATAATTATAAGGGACAGGATGTCTTGAAAACAAACCTCAGATCTTCCAGAGATCTGCCTCTCGCCTTACCCTGTTGGTTTATTCGGGGCACAGAAGAGCTCTCAGCCTGGCCAAGTGGGCGGGTCTTCCTTGGGGGGGGCTCAAGGGGAGGGACAGAAAAGACCCTCCCCAGAAGGACTGTGCCCCTGTGGGAGGGATAGGGGGAAACGACTCGCTTGTGAATATTACAGCTGCGTGCAAAGCACCTTTTTCTCACCATGGCTAGCAGACGTCCCAAGAGTTTTTATGCATCTCTCCTGCTGTCTGATGGGAGCTCTGCTGTCACGCAGAACGTTGCACAGTTTTTCTCCTCAGCTGGTTTCGTGTATTTCAGAAAGAATAATTTTATAGTAGTTTTAGGTTTGTCCATACCTTATTTATTTCTGGTGAGGTGTGGGTTGGCTATAGCTTTATAGACCTGACTCTCCTGATATACTGTTTTTTCTACTTATCGTGGTGCACCTGATTCTGTGATGAGGGTTTTGTATGTTGCCCTTCATCATCATAATATTTCATTTTTTCAGCAGTATGATTATCCTATACTGATCTTTGGCCATAACAAAGTTCCCTTTCAATTGGATTAGAAAAATCCAATCCAATAATTCATAAACTGATGGATTTAAGAGAGAGGGATGCAGGTTCTGGTTGAATGTTTCAGTAAGAGCATTTTGACCAGGGAACCCATCGTCCAGAGAGTTAGGGGCTCCCCTTCCCTGGAGAGGCTGAAGCGACACTAGAGCCATCTTGGGGGGAGGAAAGAAGCTTTCATTGGGGTCCCTGCACTGAACAGGAGTGGACTGGATGACCTCCATGGCTCTTTTCCACTCATGGATGCTGTGATTCTGCTTGTGGAGGGTGATTTCCAAAGTGCTGCTGGAGAAAAGTGCAGGGTCAGCCCAGAAGGAGGAGAACTTCCTGAAGGTGTTCCCTGGAAAGTGAACAAAGTGTTTTAGATCTAGAGGAAATCTGGTGCGTTGCAAGCCGCTGGGAAGAACGGTTTCAGTGCCCTAATTGTGTTGCTGAACTTAAGAAATCTTGGGATAATCAGCAGTGAGATTTTCTGTGGAATGACGGTGAGCCCTGTTTGGTCCTGGGTTCAAAGCCAATTCCCGCTCAGATGCCTTAACTCTGGGACCAGAGGGGGAATCTCCCAGCAGAGGGCCAAGCAGGAAGCTCTGCGTGGCTTCATTCCTCTTGCCTTCGCTCCCCCCTTTGACTGCCCACATCTCCCATGGCCTCTAGTCTCACCCAGATGCCTCCTTCCCCCTTTCCCTCCCCATTTTACAAAATCTCCCCTAAAATCTGCACCTATTAGCAATCCATTTTGGCCCTCATGAGGTGAGAATGGGTTTTTTTCCCATGAATGTAAAGTTGGAGTAACCAGGTGGGGTTTCCTGCTCCTTTTGAGCTTCTGGGAGTAGAGCCCCCCTTCTCCCTGTGGGGCGACTGCAGCCTCCTTGGGACAGAGTCTCCGCAATCCAGAAAAGGGTTTCAGGGAGGCCTTGCTGGAAGGGGGGAGGGAACAATTTGGGGGGCAAATAGGGTTTGGGGGTCCTGCTCTCCCTCTGGCCCTGCTTTCCCTTCTCTTCCTCTCTCACCCCCCAACGTCTCTCTCTTCCAACCCTTCAGGCCCTCCAGAAGCTGCTTCTTTGCCTCTCAGTTGTTCCCTCTTTCCGCCCTTGGCCTCCTGTCCCTCTTCCATCTTCTCCCTCTTCTTTTCCCTCTTCTTCCTCTCCCCCCAGCCCCCTAGGTCTCTTTTTCCTCCTTCTTCCTCCCCAGACCCTCAGATTGGGGCCTGCTGTGCCCGATAGCATCAGGATCCCTCAGCTGAAGCCCCCTAACTCTGCCCCTCTGGGTCCCTTTCAGGCTCCTCCTCACACTCCCTCATGTATTTCTGCACTTCCGTGTCAGAGCCCAGTCAGGGGTTGCCCCAGTTTGTCTCTCTGGGGTACGTGGACGCTCAAGTCTTCGTTTACTATGACACCAGCAGCAGGGTGCTGCAGCCTCGAGTCTCCTGGATGGAGGAGGTGGGGAAGGAGGACCCCCAATTTTGGGACACTCAGACCCAGCTAGCACATAGCAGTGAGGTGATCTTGAGAGCAGGCCTGGAGGCTCTGAGGACTCTCTACAATCAGAGTGAAGGTGAGTGATGGGTCGGGTGGTTCCTCCTGCCCCATATTCCTCTCCAGGAGCAGGAGGGAGGAGAAGGGGTCCCTCCCAGGGAAAAGGCCGCTCCCACAGTTTTTAAAAAGGTTATTTTAAAGGTATTTTTATTGCTTTGAAAAAAATAATATAATTTTATCCTTGCCCCATGACTAAAGTTCTCTGCATAGATGACAGTTACTAAAAACATTTTTAAAGTAAAAAAAAATGTAGCACACAAGTGATATACTGTAAGGGTAAAGAATAGACCAAAATCTCCTCCTCCCCAACTCTCCCCCAGGAAAGAAGGAGAGCCTGGCTTGATCAACATCCTGCTGTGGGGGAGGAAGGGAATAACAGGTCTGCCCCCCCAGAAGGCAGGTGAATCCTAAGAAGATCCGGGAAGTTGATCCTTTTCCTTCTGTCTGTTTCCACCGCAGAGAAATGAGGACCAAGTGCAGGTCCATCTGGGGAGACCAGATCCTCCCCCAGGCTCATCCCCTCCAAGGAGAAGCATTTCTGGCGCCCACTTTTTGGAGGGGCGAGTGGGGGCCAAAGGCCAGGAGCCTCTTCTCTTCCTCCAATTGGAAGAAGAGGCCAGGGATGCCAAGTGGGGTTGGGGCTCTTGGGGGGGGCACAGGACCACTTCTAGCATTCTTCCCATCTTGAGGGGGGGGAAGGAGAGAAAAGAAAGAGATCCCCCCCCCCATTCAGGGCCCTTCCTTAGCCGGTTGGAGTTGCCATGTCTTCCCAGCCGTGGTGCACCAGGGCTGGACTCCTGCGCTGCCCTCTTGCGGAGCTGCCCTTAAGGGGGGAAGCCCTTCCTTGGCAGCCCCCCCTTGTGACATCTTTGAGGGCACAAGATTCAGTTTAAAGGAGTCTTATTTAGAGGAGGGCTGTAAGCAAATGTGTGTCTAACTGTAGACTGTTTTTTGCTGAGGGAAATCTTCTCCACGGGCATAAGCCAGGCAGGCACGAGAGCTTTGCTAGTTCTGCCTCTGCTCCTGGGAGGGTCTCCCCAAATCCCTTCCAGTCCCCACCCAGCCTCTGAGAGACCCAGAGAGCAGCCAGAGCTCCCCCTGGTGGGAAAAGGAGGAAGGAGACCAGCCAGGGCGGTGGGAAGCCCAGAAGACTCCTGGCGCAGTCCTGAATCTGTCAAAGTGGGGGACAGAAGAACCTCAGCAGTGCCCTGCTGGATCAGACCCCTGGCTCCTCTAGTCCAGCAGTCTGTTCCCTCAGTGGCCCACCAGCCGCACCAGGAAGCCCACTGGCCTCCCAGCAGATGGCCTTCAGAGCCAGACCCACTGCCATGAAGGGTAAGAACCGTGGATCCCTAAGACTTGCATGAATTGGTCCAACCTTCTTTTGGAGCAGCCCAGCTGGTAGCCAGCGCCAGTCCTCACGGTAATGAATGCCAAAACTGAATTGTGCATGGTGTAAAACAATATTTCCTTTTGTCTGTCCTGATTCTTCCAGGATTCAGTTTAATTGGGTGACCTCTGGTTCAAGTCTTTGAGGAAGGGGGAAGAAGCTTCTCCTTGTCCACTTGATCCACACCATGCGTGGTTTTGTACACCTCAGTCAGGTCCCCTCTTGTTTGCCTCTTTTCGAGGCTAAAGAGCCCCAAATGCCGCAACTTTTCCTCACAGGGAAGCTGCTTCAGCCCTTTCATCCTCTGAGTCGCTCTCCTCCGACCCTTCTCCAGGTCCCTTGGATCCTCTCTGGGCTGTGGCAACCAGAACTGCAGACGATATTCCAGATGTGGTCTCACCCTTGATTTCTATAAGGGCATTATGATATTAGCCTCTCTGTTTCGAATGCCTTTTTTATTATCCCTGGCATGCTGCTGGCCTTTTTTTATCACGGATGCACATTGTGTCAACACCTTCATTGAATTGTTTACCATTAGTCCAAGTGTGGTAAACTACACTTTGTCCCAGCCACCTCTGATCCTGTTAGCTTCTGTCAGGAGTTAGCATTTTGGCCCCAGTGTGCATCAGATGGGCTGACCTCTACCATTTTGATGCCCACTCCCCTAATGGGCAGAGAAGCTTTGCAGCTCTTCGCGGTCCCTTAGGGTTTTTACCACTCTGAACCCCTTAGTGCCATCAGTAAATTCCATGAGTCATGCCCTGTTCCAGATCATTTAGAAATCTATTAAAAAGAAGCAGTCCTAGGAGAAAACCCTGGGAACCCACAAGAAGACCCACAAGAAGACCTGCCTTTTTATTCCATGGCTGAGAAGTCTTTGATAACGGACTTTATCAGACGTTTTGAAAATCAGAGTAGGTGATGTCTACTGGATCAGCCTTATCCACATGTTTGTTACCACCCTCAAAAACTCTAGCAGATTAGTTAGACAGAACCTTCCTTTACTTGAGCCATGTTGGGTATCCTTGAGCAAGGCCTGGGTTTCCAGATGTTTGGTCATTCTATCTTTAATAGCAGTTTCCACTCTATTCCCCAGAACAGATGTTAAGCACACAGGTCTGTAACATCCTGGACATCCCCATGAGCTCTTTTTAAAAACTGGAGTTACGCTGGCCACCTTCCAGTCCTCAACTCTAGAGGCTGAGCATAGAAACAGGTTGCCTATTTGAATGAGAAAGTCCACAATCTCAGCTTCGAGCTCCTTCCAACCCTCAGGTGGATCTCATGGGGGCCTGGTGATTTGCTGAGGCTCAGTTTGTCCATAAGGCCCAGGGCTGCTTCTCCTGTCACCGCTCTGGGGCTCAGCTCAGCTGGTTCCCCTCCTGAGAACAGAGCAAAGGCT